CGTTCAGATGAAGCTTGTCCTCCATAGAAGCATCCGGTGGGCTTCAATGCCAGTTTTCTTGAAATTAAACAGCAGGGGAAGGCCCCCGGGGAAACGGTTCATCACGTTCCATAACCAATGAGTCTGAGAGCAACAGGATTTTGGGGCAAAACTGATTTGTCTGCCCTCAAGTAGGTAGCCAATACCCTACGTTGCAGAACATGACAGGTTTCACCGGTAAACCTCTAAAATGGTTCGCGCAACGACCCCTGGAATTCGGCGGCGGAAATTAATGCACACACCTAATAGTAGTAGGCTGCATAGACACCAGTTTTAAGACTAATTTCCGAGTGTTACTACCCAAGTTTTCGAGGGGTTTTCATACTGCTATTTTCATCATGACATAGTCTTGCGTATGAACAGAAACGTGTAGACCAGACCTTCACACTCAACTACTGCTCCGTTTATAAAATGGGAAGAACATGCCGAAAAGAGTTTCTCACAAAAGTTAGGCACGCTGAACGAGCCAGAACATATGGGATAACCAACAAGAGAATAATCAAAAGACGCACTTGATCCACTAAGAAGAGGGAAGATGAACTGCTCTGCCAACATCATAGCAACATTTCCTTTCATGTTTTTCGGCTCACAAAACGATCTGAATATTACGAATTACGAGAAACCAAGGAGAATTAAATCGCAGCTCACCGTGCCACTTTTGTTTTTATTTGCTTAGGTGTTTCGAACGCCTCCAGGAGGAAGTCAGGACTTGAACATGACATCTTCTTCCCATCACACCCGGGAAGCAGCGAGAACGTCAACTGCGTAGGCGGTTGTATCCTCATGCGGGACCACAGCTAAAAAACCTTTTCTTGAAAATTTGGAAATGGATGATATAGTAATGCTACAATACCTTATAGGCAACATTAGCAATTGTGACTGAATCTTCACCCATAATAGCGAGGTCAGTCTTGAGTATTTGATGGTTAAGAGCGAAAAATAGTGGTACCAAGTTGCCAGATAAAGACGTCCCTGACATGTCGAGTTTCAGAGCTTCGATAAAGTAAAGCACGCAAATGAACGATGAATACAAAGTTTTCAGAAAAAATACAGGTAAAGAAAGGAGGACAATACCTTCACAGACCGTCGTTTCGTCGCGAGTCACAGAGGATGCCATTTTATACAAGTTTAACACATAATCTCTAGAAAAAAATGGTGTTTCATTAGAACGATTACCAGCATAATTTTTTTTTAATCCACTAAACGTAGTAACAAGATTACTTACTTCGAGAAAACGGAGTCCATGTCAGAAGATTTCAGCGCCCTGACCTTGTCTTTCAAACCCAGTTGGTCGATAACGAATGAGCATATTTGGTAGAAATATTCGCTACGAGCGTCACGGGTATTCCAAGAGACCTACAACAACCACAAGCCATAGCGTTATTACTTGTAAAAGACACAATGTGCGTCTACCTTTTCGTTATCAAGGAAAGCTTCCATGTCGGAAATCAGAACAATCCCTTCTATGTTTATTCCCTTGTCGACCAATGACTGAAACCCAGTGTGCAGGTATAGAATGAAAAAAAAGAAATAAAATAGATGCTAACCTTCATTTTCAATAATCCCATAAAAAATCCAAGGTGGAATCGTCCCTTTGGGTGAATAGTGAACGTTACTCGAATCGCCCTACCATCTGCTATACAAGACCGCAACGCAGTATCATCGTCTCCGACCAGCTACAATCGCATAGTAGTAATCTTTTTTGCTCTAAGTTGAGCATCTATTGAAAAGTAGCCTTCGCTTCGCAAGTTGACCGCAGCAAGCGCTTTCAGACTTCGACGAAGTGCGCTTTCAACCAACGCTTGACCAACGCCGACAGCGTTGTTGGCCACGCGTTGTCAACGCTCAACAACCGATCGATACCGCACGTCGGCGTTGACCCTGCGTTGTCAACGCGTGGCCAGAACTGCTGTCCTACTGTCGTCCTCAGTTGAAATACGCACGTCGCAGAGGTCTGAAAGTGCTTATATGTAGAACTCACAGAAGAAACATGAGTAAGGTATAATTTTAAATCAGCGACATAAAGGATATAGCGGAAGGAGAAGTTGGAAACTCTAAGCTTTGTTCGCCATAAAAATCAAGTATAAAAAAAGCCAAATCTTTACAAAATTATGAAAAACCACCATAAATCTCAGCAAAACTTACCTTGTCATTGTCAACAATTTTCTTAACGAGACATAGGTCTTGCGCAGAGAGCTGTACAACTCGAGGTTGCAGTGGCTCAACACCGATCTCGTGTACTTCCTTGTAGCCTTTTTCAAGGGCATCCAACACGACATCAGATTTACAATGTTCTTGCACCTAAACCAGTTTTTTACGTGAAACCAGCTCCTTTTTATGAACGAACACACTAACCTTAACGAGCAACTCGTTTAGGAACTCGACAAGAGACTTTTTCAAGTCCTCAGCAGACAAAGCACCAGATAGAAATGATTCCTTGATGTCCTCGTAGGTGAAAAATTCTCTGAAAGAACTTGTTCCGATATCTAACCTAATCAAAATGTTAAGAAACCACATACTTATTTGCGATAACCAAAGAGTTTGGACTAACAATCGGGATCAGAACGTAGTTGAAGAAAGCCAAAATTCCGTTGTCATCTTCTTGCTTTGGACACGCAGCACCAAGAATTTTTCGCTCGACAGCATCGCGGCTGTCTAATAAGTCAATTTTCGAGTCAACCTCCGAACTGAATACAATGGTTATATCATGCAAAATTTATCACGAAATAATGAATCTTCGAAGTAGTACCTGCTCATCTTTGAGCCAGTTAATCCGGGCACCATGGGATTCATCAAGTGCCATCTTTTTCCTAGTTTCAATTTTGGCAACTGCTCTTCTGCTAGAATGAAGATTTTCCGTTGGTCAACACCGCCGAATTGACCATCCACCTAGAACATA